TAGCACTTTTCTAGTACTGAATCCATGCCTCGTTGGGAGAAAATTTCAAGGGGAGGGGGGAACAGGGGCAAGGTGAGTCATCTTCGATAAAGGGCAAATGAGTGGCGGTGGTTTGATCAGAGATATTTACTATTCCAGCTCATGGCTACCTCCTTCCCTACTATCTCTCTCTCTCTCTTTCTCTCTCTTTCTCTCTCCCCTCCTCTTTCACTTCCTCCGTTCTACCACCACCGTTGCAAGTTGCAGCAGCAGATTTGGAACTTCTCCTTCCACTACTCCCAACACCACCGCTCCGGTTAGACTGTGAACCACCAATACGGGATGAAGAAACAACGACCACTAGAGGGAGTAGAAACAAGAAGCAACCAAAACAAATCCCCATCATCAACCATCATCACATTCTCTAGATCCTCGATCACCAACTGATAAATTACTCAAACTAGCCAAAATGTAGATTCCTATGTAAGAGTTATTGGAGATTCTTGGTGGAGGAAAAACCAGAAGAGGAACCCGGTTCACGGTAACCCACACACCCGATGGTGTTTGTTCTTCACTCAGGTTTAGACTGATTCTCCGTGGTTCAGACTGAGTTCTCCACTCAATCAACGAAGCTATTAAAGTGATGGACAAAAACGTCGTTGCACCGCTGGGAGTTGCAGTGGTAACCCACACAGCCAATGGTGTTCGTTCTCCACTTAGGTTCAGACAAAAACATTCGGTGGTTGTCATCGGGGTTTGGGAGAAGGAGAGAGAGAGAGGCTAGAGAGAGAGGTTGTGTTTGAGTTGAGTTAAAACGAGGGATAAATCGGTCGAGTGTTTGAGTTTAAGGGTAAAACGGTCATTTTACATTTTCCATCCATGTTTAATGACCCTAGTAATGTTTGACAAATGTTAGAAACAGTAAGGGTAGTGTCAGTCAATTTTCAAACAGTAAGGGTACACTTAGCCAATTAGCTAAACCATAAGGGTAGTTTAAGAAATTTACCCTTTTCTTTATTTTTTTTTCTATTACGCTTGCATTTGAAACCCTGCATCCCTCATTTTGGGATTTGAAATGGTAACGTGCCACCAAACAAACACCGAAAACTTGAAAAATGATAATACAATGAGAATCCATATATTGCTTGGAACCATTCATTCTTATTGCCACAATGCCAATATAATGCCATGTGAAAGATCAAAGATTTTATGAATTGCTCTATTGTGACAACAAGGACAAATTCTAATTTGGGTAAATTTCTGAAAGTTCTCCTGAAGTTTGGTAATTGTATTCATCTCCTCTGAAATTAATTTTTAATACAGTTGCAAGTAGACCTATTTATTAAAATCTACTAATAAGAGGCATGAAATTAGTATTGTGTTTGAATTTTATAGAAAAACAATAATAAATAAATTTCTTAAACTACCTCTATTGTTTACTTAATTAACAAACTATACTATTATTGTATAACTATTGTCTTAAATCATTCCTAGTGTTTTTGACAATTGAATAGCTCTACTTTTACACTATTATTTGTTAATATTTCATCAAAATCCGTACACATAACATTATGGAGCTGCAACAAAATCCGGTGCTAAACAAGATCTCGTCTGTTCATCATGTATGCACGACAGTTGCCTAAACCTCTGCGTTCCAACTCTCTCTTATGCTGGCTCCGCTAACACCTCCCATGATCTCGCCCAAGCCGCCGTAACCATCAGCCTCGGTCATGCCTGAAGCGTTTCCTGGTATCTCAACCGGCTCCAAAAGCTTCACAACAGCAAGGTGCGGTGAGTGACTACATCGAGCAGTTACCTGACTCGGTAGACAAGTTGCTAAAAAAGCTTTCAGAGCTTCGACACCTTCACTGTGGAATATTTCGGGAGAAGATGGGTAACGCACAGACATGGGTCAACGCTGCTTTGATAAACGAAAAAACGTGTCTTGATGGATTTCAGAATGTTGATCAGCGGTGGCCCTGTTGAGCAAGGAGTATTGGATGCATCCTTAGGAAGCTCTCCGGCACACTGTTGAGCCCCTAACGAACTGGTTCTTGGACCATGGGCACGTTGGATGTTCGTAGTTGACCATCTTGGACAACGAAACTCACTTCATGGAAGATGTATCTCCATCCCTTCATTCCTGCAATCTATTGATGGATTGACAAGGTAACCGACCCTGTGTTTGGGTTATGGTTGAACTGGTCAAGGATGCCAGGTGGCAGCCTCCGTGGCCATCTTCTCTCTAGCCACGTTAGCACTACGCAAGATAGATAAGCACAATTAAGGAGTGTCCTATACAGACAAGGAAGTTAACTTTGTTGGAGAAGAGGAGTCACCCCGAATACTTCGGCGGGCAACCTCATCCCGACAACCCCAGAAGCCATATCCGTTAGGAACACGGATGTCCAATTATAAATTAGTAATCTCCACTCAAGGTAAATGACTTTTGGACTGAGAATACTTTGGCACCATCTATTCTGCTCAGCCCAACCACTTACCTCCCCATTCAACTGACTTGAGCGTTGGAGTACCTACCCGGGGAATAACTCCTTGGGCCTTTGATTTTCCCCCTTGGTTGCAGATCCTAGTGTGCGACTTTGTCCTTCCACCTCGGCTTCGTCCAATTTCCATGACTATCTAACAGTGTCCTCGGTCCAGAACACCTTGGATCGGACAACATCAGATTGGCATCGTTTGTGGGGAACACACAAAAAGCCATTTCCCAAACCTCCTTTCGTGCATTCAAAACAACCATGCCTAGAAATACATCTGACCGCTCTGGAACCCGTTCCCCACCTCGGGGTTCCTGCTCTCATCGCAGCTCTCCACCTCGAGAACCCCAATAGCAGACCACGGTCGATCCCGCGGAATTCCAAGCAATGCAACAGAAGGTCAACCACATCGTTGCCATAATGGAGACGCAGGCGCTTACCATGGCTGATCCTCTGATCCTTACACCAAGGACCCCAAAAAGCATCACACAGACAAGTACAAGGCCCGGTTTGACCATGAAAAGCAGTAGTCATCTAGAAGACCAGACTCCCCAGTCCAGTCTTGTGGGCATAACATCCACAAAAAGTCACATCATTCCACCTGAGTACTGGTGAAGGAACAACTCGGCCAGCGTCACCACAACCGCCGATCTCGATAGCCGAGTCCAGTTTGGACCGAGATCGGCCTACAATCCCAAAAGGAGACAAGCCTGTGGACGTGACCCTAACCGACAAAGACGCTGAGATCAGGGAGTTGAGAGAAAGGCTAGCCGAATTGGAATAGAGCCAAGCAGACAGAAGCGGACTCCTCCGACAATCCAACTTGTAGAACAACACCATAGCTAGCTTGCAAAGGAACCTGTCTTCGTTCAAGAGGTCATGGATGAGCTTCCACCAGCTAGTTGACAACCTCCTCAGTTCGAGAAGTACAATAGAGCCTTAGACTCAAATGACTACGTCGAAGGGTTCAAATCCATGATGATGTTGCACAACTCTTCCGAAGGCCTCATGTACAAGGCTTTCATCGCCACCCTCCATGGAGTTGCTAGAACCTAGTATGCCTCCCTTCCTCCGTGGTCCATATCCTCCTAGGAGTAGCTGGAGACGCAATTCTTGGCATAGTTCACCACCAGTCAGAGACATTGGAAGATGTCAGCCAGCCTCATGCAGGTGCAGCAGAGGAAGGGAGAGACCTTGCGGGAATACTTGGCGAGGTTCAACGTCGATGCCCTCTAGGTCCGAGCCTTAAACTAGTCAGTAGTAGTGACTGCGATCATGAATGGCTTGCTCTCCTCCATGTTCAGCTTCTTGTTACAGAAGAATCCTCCTCCCAACCTAACGGCGCTCATGAAGCATGCACAGAAATACATGAACGCCTAGGAAGCCCAAGCACTATAGAGGAACGAGGAAGAGCAACACGACCGGAAGAGAAGAGACCACAATGAGCGCAAGTCGGATCGAGAGAGCAAAAGTCAACACCAATGAACTAACTGAAGACTGAGGACCCCGCCGTCGACGTATAGGAACTTCACTCCCATGAATGCACCACAAGCCGAGATACTGATGCAGATCCACGACCGTAGCTTTGTCAGGTGGCCCAAGAAGATGAAGTCCTAGAACAACAAGAGAAGTCGAGACAAATACTACAATTTCCATAGAGACTACGGCCACGAGACTGAAAGCTGCTGCGATCTAAACCACCGCTCCCCCGAGCACACCTCAGGATGGTAGCGCAGCAGCACAGGATGGCCAAGTACTATGACTCTAAAGTTCGAAGGAGGGAGTTCAAGACAGGGAACCTCATCCTCCGCAAATTAATAGTGCCCACACTAGGAGAAGGGAAGCTTGGACCCAACTGGAAGGGTCCATACAGGGTGACCAGAGTCTTCGGCCTGAGCACCTACAAGCTAGAAGATTTGAACGGGAAACCGATGTCTAGGAGCTGGAATACTGGGAACCTAAGGATGTACTACTAGTAGCTCAAGAAATAAAGCTCACTTTTTTGCATCAAACTAACTAATGCACACCACACATGTTTGCCTAGCCGAACTCTAACGACCGAAGTGTCCAAAATGTCACCGCACACACCTTCACACAATGGCACCACCGAACCGACCTAGGACAACTAACAGACCCGACCGACCTAAAACAGTCGAGGCCCACGTGGGAACGATGTCCCCGCTCAAAGGGCAAGAGGACGACCATCAAACTCCGCACACTCAACTGACAAACTATCAGAGCAGAGATAGCTGAGGAACACGGCTAGCCCAGTTAGAGCACGAAGCTCCTCGAGACCAGGCGCCACCGAGCTTCCCAACGACATCGAGGGCTCAGAAGCACCTTGGCCAGCACAAAACCAAGGCCATTGAGCCCACGACCTCGGCCAACACAAGACTGAGACCTATAACCAACTTAATTCCAAGGTATAACAACTTGAAAGAAAAGGAAGGACACAGAAAGAAGTGCTCAGCAAAAAGTTCAATTTTTCATTAATTGTAAAATTAATTACATTAATCAAAGCTTGGCATACCGAGCTGCATACAACAAAAAAAAAGGGGGAAGCACTTCAATCATCAGCTGGGGGCTCCTCAGCTCGCTCTTGGAGATCGGCAATGGTGTCATCCCCTTCAGGTATGGTGACATCGAATGGACCGAACCCTTGAATAACCCCAGCCGCCTCTAGGAAGTGGTGCACAACACTTCACTGGCAAAGAGCGAACTCCTCCTGCCAAGAGTCAGTTGTGTAGTCACCCAACTCGTTCTAGTGGGCCTCCAAATCCTTGTACTCAGATACACCCTCTTTCTTCGCCCAAGCAATCTTCGCCTCAATGTCTCCAAACTCCTTCCTCAGTGCGTCCCGCGCCTCCTTTAGATCATGGACGCAACCCTTTAGCTTGTGGACTTTGTCATCCCACTCCTCAACGTCACGCCTCAGCTCGACCAACTCCATCTTCAGTTGAACGTTCTTGACCTCCCACGACTCATAAAGACGTCAAAGTGCGCAAAGGCGGTCGACGAGGCTGACAACTCAGTAGACAAACTACAAGACATCAAATTATCAGTACAAGGAAAGAAAAGCAATGAATACATAAAAAAAATCCAAACTCACCGCCATAGCTTGATGAAGGGCCGCACTCTCCAAGAAGCTGCTAGTGTGATTGTTCACCTCTTACCTAATGCTAGGGAGCATCAAACCCTGGGCAAGTTGCTTGGCCACCCCTTTTGACTCAAGGGTGTGCTATGGTCGGACAGAATTGCAACAAGTATACGTCAACCGAGCCCTTTGCCGTGGCACGCACTCTACGGAGTGTCCCCCCTCAGCGATGCTTATCACCCAAACTAAGTTGTGGTCTCCTCAAAATCGACCACGACAACCTCCTCTACGGGCCTCAACCTCTTCCCCTGCCGAGGCGTGCACTCTATAGAGTGCCTTTGTTGTAGTTGCTGCCTTAGGCTGTGCACCCAAAGCCCTAGCCGCCTGAGCTCTCCTCTCTATCGCGGCCCTCATGCGCCGAGCCCTCTCTTCAGCACTGGCAATATCCGCTTCTGCACAGTACAACACCAAGTTAGAACCAAGTAAAGACAAGTTCAAAAATTAAAGAAAAGAAATACCGCACAACCCACAGACCGAACTAGCATTGCTCGACCATGCTGGACATCAGCCCAACATAAATCACCATGGAGAATGACGTGCACTGCACGACAATCCTTTCTATCCGTCGGATAGCCGCTGACTCCTCCCTAGACAGCTCGACCTCAATTGGCGCTTTCACCTTGGTCCTTGGGACACATAGCATAACAAGGTGCTCATCTCTCCTTCCAGTGCTTCACCAAGGAGGGAGCCCCAATGAGCACCTTGTTATGATGTCGAGCCAAGAAATAGTAGAAACCCTGTTGGTGCTTCTTCATGTGCAAGAAGTAGGTAAACATTGGTAGAATAATGTCTATATCATGGACCGAACAATAGCAGAGAAGGCCAACTAGATACCTAAAGGAGTTGGGCATTAGTTGGATTAGCTAGACACAGTACCACCTTAGCACCGTAGCAATACCCTCCCTCAAAGGAAACCTCAGCCTAGCTCTCAGGCTATGCTCATAGACACAAAGCTCACTAGGCCAAGCCGAGGTAGCCCGCTCACTAGCGCTCGGGCACCTTAACTCATACTCCACGGGAATACAATACAGGGCCCAGATTTGGGCTAAGTCCTAGAGCCCAGAATACAGTACAGGGGCGTTGGGCCCCTCATTCGACACAATCTCCAGTTCAGCGTCGTCAACCTTGACCCCCAAAGGACCGTGGCCTCCTCCACCATAGCACCCTCACCTCCAAGCTCGTCGACCTTAGCCTTGTGGCCATTGGTTTCACGGACCACGAGCGCGGCAACCTCGAAATGAGACCCCGACTCAAACTCACTACTTCACGAACTAAAAGAAGAGGACGAGGAAGAATAAGAAAACGAGGAAGATGGGGATATCTTACCAGAATAAATGAAGAAGACAACACTGTAGAATACCCGAAACACCAGTCAAGGACTATTTCTTGCCGAACCCCAAGGAGCAAACTCTTTACAAATGACAAGTGAAATGGCTTGCCACCCCTCTTTTATAAGGCTAGCCAACGGTCCAGATCAAGTCAGACAACGGCGCCGATTCGACATCGCACTCCGCATGTGCGTGACCGCGTGACATCAGAAAGACGAAATGACACATTTACCAACCTGCCTAGAAAACAGCATGAGCATCGAACCGGTCGGTTCACCCCGAAAATTGGCTCCACTCTAGGCCATTCAACTCGGAAAAGAAAGATTAATTAACAAGTTAAAGTTTCTCAACTGAGGACCATAGAGTTCTTCCACGTCTAACCGCAGCCGAGCACTATACTCCTCAACTTTGGAACTGGGGGAATGGTGTTTGGGTTATGGTTGAACTGGCTAAGGACGCCATGTGGCAACCTCTGCGACCATCTTCTCTCTCTAACCATGTCGGCATCACATAGGATAGATAAGCATGATCAAGGAGTGTTCTGCTTGGACGAGGAAGTTAACTCCGTTGGGGAAGATGAGTCATCCCAAAGACCTCGACAAGAAACCTCATTCCAGCAACCCCGGAAGCCTCATCCGTTTGGAACACATACGCCCAAGTATAAATAGGTAATCTCTACTCAAGGTAAAGGACTTTTGGACTGAGAATACTTTAACATCATCTCTTCTACTCAGACCAGCATTGTTCTTACCAGCTCGGCCTGACCACTTACCAGTTACCTCCCCATTTAATTGACTTGAGTGTTGGAGTACCTACCTGGGTAACTCCTCAGGCCTCTGACTTCCTCCTTGGTTGCAAATCCTAGTACGTGAATTTGTGCTTCCACCTCAGCTTTGTCCAATTGGCAGGATTATCCAACTATGTCCTCGGTCTAGAACACCTCAGATCGGACAACATCACCCTATTTGACCCAAATGATTGGGGAAGGACAAGGAAGCCTAGGATGCCCATAGCATCAATGGGATTCTGAAGCTCAAAGTAGTTGGGATAGGTGAGATCACCTTCGCCAGATTTGTTAGTATTGGTTTTTCCTTGGCATTGGTTTTGCCGACAACTGAAGAGGCGAGGGAGTTGAGAGGCGACACTAGGGTCATCGAAGATGTCTTCTCCGGTAAGGAGATCAAGACTCGTGAGGGTCGATCTGGAGGGGATTGTCGACATGGAATGACGGCCTACAGAGGCACATCACCCTAAAGGCCAAGGAGTGTGATCCCGTTATGGTGCTCGTGGTGAGGGTGATCATGAATGGAAAAATACACCGGTGGAGCCAGCGAGATATGACAAATGCACAATGACAAAGAACTTATGAAGGTTATGGAAGATTGTGAGGCAGTGATTGATAGATATAGCGATGGCAATGACAGTGAAATTTTTCAGCAATTGGATTTTATTTTGAAAATTTGAGGTATAGTGGAGGGAAAATTCGACATTTCATTTTTTTATTATTGCTTACCGATGATGTCAATTGCCAAAACCAGTAGGGATACTTCAAGACAATAGGTAAACAGTAAGAGTAGAGTTAGTCCATTAGCTAAACCATAACAGGAGTTTAAGAAATTTGCTCTAAAAAAAAAGAGAACTTAGAAAATAAATCAATTTTAGAAAAAAGATTGAAAGGATTTGGAGTAACAATTCATATGAAGAGAAATTTTAAAAAATAAACATTTTGGTGAAAAATAATGCATGAATATTTTGCATATTCCCATGCCTCTTGTTAGAGGATTTTAACAAAAGAAGTTTACTTGCAACTATATCACAAAGTTTAGAGGAGGTAATTACAATTAACAAAATTCAGGGGAGGTTTCAGCAATTTACCCTTATAATTTAAACAGAATCAAGTGGATAAGCGCTACATGTCATCTTTATGTGAGAGTTGATCTAAGGAGAATCATGTTATCATTGATAATATATAGGCAGCCAATTGAAGAATTCTCTGCTACCTCCTAATCAGATTTCACATTTTAAACATCAAACAATCTAGGGTTAAAAAAAAAAGGAGGAGATAACTCCTACCAGATAGCACACATTTAGAACAAATTATTACGTGTAAAGTGAAACTCTAGCCTCTGGGCAAGAATGAATGTGGCCTGGAATACGGCATTAGAAGAAGAATGTAGACAACATAAGAGGCTTCTTTCATACACAAACTAAGAATAAGAAAAATGACATGGGCAAGAGAGAGAGGGAGAGAGCTCTTTTTAATATTATGAGTTATGGGTCGTGATCGCCTCCTCAACTAGAAAAGACCTCTAGAATATTAGGCATCGTGAATAAAATCAGTTAAGACATCCCATCGCACTCCAAGTGTTTTTAGCAAACAGGCCATCCCAACTCCATGCCCATACAATTGATAGAGAAAGACGAAATGTACGATATATATTCGTACAATCGGGACATGACATCTACGATCCAAATCGTCCATGTCTCAATTGCACACATGTTCAATGCCCACAATCCACCTGATGACCTGAGCTTCATGCATGCATTTGTGAGATCATATGAGTTTCCACAATATATGATATATCCACGCCTAGCTATATATACCAACAGGCCATATTCAAGTTAATTAATTTTGATTCAATACTCCAATAGTATTGATATAATTTGGAAGTGACACAAATTAACCCAAAAATAAACCCATTTACCTCAATCATGTATGGGATAAGTTGGGTGCAGGATGAAAAGTGATTAATATAATGGATGGATTGGTCCTCTGATAAAAAGAACCGTGCAAGAGAAGCTCCCAAGGTCATGGCGAAAGGATATGTATCCAAAGCACAATAGTGGTATCTGATGCGCAAGCATCTTCTTTGGTTTGGATACTCTGGATAAGACTGACATCATGCCAGCATTTTTACTTTTGTAAGCTAAACATGCGTGGAGAATTTGGGCATACCTTATCTATCTATTGGACACATGAGGAGTGGCCTTTGTCTAAGTATCTATCTGTTGGACACATGAGAATTTGGGCATACCTTATCTATTTGCACCATCACCATTCACCAACAAAAAAAAAAAAAAGCATCAGGGCAGGAAATCTTGAAACATGGTGAGTTCTTATCTGCAGCCTAATAAAATAAGGTATGAGGCTGTAAGTTGGCCCCTGTTACACTGCTCTTTGGTGGATGAACTTGAGGAATATCCATAATGTCAGTAAATTAGCTTCCACTACTGAGGAACAAGGCATAGAATCCACTCAAGTGTCCTTGCATGAGTTACCAGGGCATTTCTGGATTCGGTCCATTTTCAGTTTTTAATGATTTTGTATGTAGTAGGTGAGATGGGATATCCTGAAAGCAAAAAAAATATGAACACCCTGCATGGCATCTAGCCACACATTGAGAATATCTTTCCATGAATTTAACATTCAAGTATGGGAGATAATTCCTGATGTGCGGCTGAAAGCTGTGTTTTCAGGGTGTTTGCATGGTTTTTTGCTTTTAGGAGATCCAAGCTGGTAGTAGGTTGGGGGGGGGGGGGGGGGGGGGGGGGTAAAGGTTCCACTAAGTTGATTGGGGTTTTTAGTGGAATGTCTAGATGGATACCCATATATTGACTTCCCAGTCACAATCGCTTTCCAAAAATTAAGTTCCTGTATTACAGACATCCTCGAATCTTTCTTGATCTGCCAAAAATCATTAAATCTAGCTACTTATTGATTGCGTGAGCTCTGGTTTGAAATTTTCAAAAAAATTCTTTTGCAAAAAAAAAAAAAAAAAAAATAGAATGACAGGGGATGGCCACACATTTGGCACAATGCGTGCTCCCTTATAGTTGGACTAAGATTCATAATTAGAGTTTTTGTTTGGTTTTTCTTCCTCTCCCTTGGGAGTGAGTGATCAGTAACCTTGAGCCTTTCTAACTCTTCATTGATAACAAGGCTCTGCAGATCTCTGAGAGAGATCATACTTAGCCATGTAGTGATGATGGAGGTGTAAAAAGCTTCATACTGTGGATTACACTAGTAGAAAAAAAAAATTATGAGTAAGGAGCACATATAGTTT